TAGTTTCCTGCCTAATTTGCACCTAATCCTCCACTGGATCCAACACCTACATGCTCCAGTGCACCCTCAGCGAGCCACAAAGCCACATCACGTTTCACCGACTCCAGACAACCTTTATTACACGGCATCCACTCGAGTCAGCAACACATTCTCCTGAGGACGGCCAGAGCATACTGGCCGAAACGTCGAGTTGAACACTCACCGGTTCTTCTCAGAACCACACCTCTTCCCAAAAGAGAATTTTTACATGGTGTACCCGCAAACCTACATCTTATTTATTTGGACTGTAATTTGTCCTAGTATTTGCATTTACTTCAGCCGCAATCAAGAACGTGTAACCAGGATTAAACACGTACCACCATGTCCCCGTGAATCTAAATGTTAATAATGATGGTACTGTTTCACTACATACGACGTGGTGATGTACGATTTTCATGATCTTTTGTTTGATTTATATTTCGTTAGGTGTATCCACTATTCCATCTCTCCCTTGCTGACTTGTTAGCCTCCATTTTTGTCATCGTCAGTCTCATTATATTTGGTCAGTCATCTGAAGTCATCCAACCTTCTGCAGCATGCGCCTGGACCTCCAGTTTAGCTTGGGTAAGAGAAGCTTGTTTATTTTTATGATATTGATCAAAGGAGGCACATTATGTAATGATTTGGGGATTCCTCTTGAGCCTAATTGGGATTGAAAACACACCATGTGTTTACCACATGCATTGTAAAAGTGATTGGTGACTTAAGTGCTTCTCGATTTATATTTAAACACTGGTTCCGAGAAAAAAATCGTTTTGATGTCTAGAAAATCTTGTTTTTCACCGTCTAGCCTAAAACCAAATTAAAATTTTTCAGCGTGGCTGACAAAGTTCTTTTCATTTGTACAGGGCTTATACCTAACCACCTTTTTCCTCACACTAATCTACGCGTTTGAAGCTTACCGGAGAACTATCGACCAACTTGCCCAACTCGTATCGCCTTACTACAGCAAAGAGGTAGGCACCTGTATGCATACATTTACGAGAAATGATTTAGTTGATAGTGACACTGCAGTTTCCGAGGAGAAGGAAGATGGCACTAATGATGATTCAAAGTACGGGGTGATGACACGACGACAAAGATGATGGTATAGTCATGATTTCGATGACTCTTCAGACAGCAAAGACAATTCAATTCAATTCAATTCAATTCAATTCAATTCAATTCAATTCAATTCAATTCAATTCAATTCAATTCAATTCAATTCAATTCAATTCAATTCAATTCAATTCAATTCAATTCAATTCAATTCAATTCAATTCAATTCAATTCAATTCAATTCAATTCAATTCAATTCAATTCAATTCAATTCAATTCAATTCAATTCAATTCAATTCAATTCAATTCAATTCAATTCAATTCAATTCAATTCAATTCAATTCCCATAATGCTATGCATGGAATACGACGAAAATGCATATAGAAAATTATGACAACAAAATAAATTCAAGGAGTAAAGATGCGAAAAATAAAGCAAACATAAGGAAGAATCTGCATGGCAATGAAGAAAGTGAAATTTAACAATGAAGTTGATGACGACAATGACATGGTAGATGACTAGTAACTTAAGTATTTACGATGAAGCATTGCTTTGCAAAGGATGGATTATTCGTGCGGCCCTCTTCTTGATTTTCATGTGCTTGAAATGTGTGCTGATGCTTGGGCATTTTATGCAACCGACCTTGTGGGTTCTTTTCCTGACTAAATGCTTTCTGCATTTAAGATATACATTTAGGACTGTGACACGCTATCTCAAGCAATATAACTAAAATGACAAATTGGTGTTGCATTCTAACCCTTGCAGCCAACGTACAGTTGTACTCCATGGTACCTTCCTGTAGCTTACACCCTAGCATGGATTATGCCCATATTGTCGGTTGGAGTATATCACGCCACGCAGCAAAGGGAAACACAGGTTTTGAACGTATGCAAAAATTATAACTACGAGTGAGTATCGAAAACCTTGCCACTTTATATAAACCATGTAGAACATTAAGCACCGTGTTGTTTTGGTATATGTACTTCGGTCAATTGACCTCAATCTCTTTTATTGTCGTTTTCGCTGACAGATGTCTCGTAATATTCCATCGGAAGAACGACCCTTGTCTAGTAAGTATAAATTATTACCTTAATTACCTTACAATTACAACATTTACGGATGAGATTTTTAAATATGAATTTCGATCCGATGTCCATGAACGTTTTCATGGTTGTAAAGAGGTTTGGGGTGGCAGCGACATCGATGACATCAATAATGTGTACGATTCTATGCGTACCTTTGAGAGGTTAAATAACAGCGCACAACCTTTTCGAAATACAGTATTATTGTCTCTTTTTGTCTCGCAGGATAGGAGTGATACCGGCGTTGGAGGGCGCCTTGCGATGAAATCATCCTTCATTGCAGTGTTCTTCCTATGTAGCATTGGAATCACAGTAAGCATGTTTTGAGAGGTTTTCTTTTAATTGCTTCTACTTATCAAGAGTAAACTTCACACACTCTCCTTAGAATAACCACCAGGTCTGTCACAAAAATCGAAGCAACCCATCTGAAACCTTAAAAAATTCAATTTCCCAAATGATCTACAATGAATAGGTATTCAAAGGGTATTCACGTTCACGTTAATTACATGTATTTACTTTGTATTGCACATCCGTGTTATACCTTAGCATATGAGCGCTCTGACAAGATATTTCCTTTTTGCTTTTTACCTACAGGTGTTTTATTACCTGACACATAAAGCAGTCACGGATAGCCAACACTCCTCAGGTGTTGTCAGTCACAAACAGTATGAGGCGGCCAAGCGTATCAGGAACCGAGGCATTCTCTACAGCGCTGTCTTCATAATTTGTTGGCTGCCAGGTTTGGCCAGACCTTTTTGCAATCAGTAGAAATGCATTCTGGATTGGTTCATCAACCACCAGCAATTGTCTCTTATTTGTGCGATGGTTACAATCTGTCTTATGGAAAGAATGTTATCCGCCCCGAGCGGGAAGAAAAAAGGGCGTGTTTTTAAATTGATAGTCCTGTGGTATCAACCCATTTATCTCCATTATAAAAAATGGATAGGACATCCTGCATTGTTTGTGCACAAAATGCGCGGCCGAACAATGGCGGCGCTTCAGGAGCTAGGGTAAATGTGGTGCTGTATGCTGTGCATTCCTGGTCAACACAACCTTTTTCTAATGGGATGATGGCTAAGCCCTCGGCCTCCCTCCCGAAAGCAAGCCAAAAATAAACAGAAAATGCAAGAATATCATGTCTGGAAATAACTGACCATTTTCTTCAAACCCACTCGAAAGCCATAATGTTAACCTGTTTTTGTGTGTTTGTTTTTAATTCATTTTTTGCACCTATTGTCTACGGTCTCGCTTTGTCAATAATTTCACTTTGGATCGATTCAATCGTGATTTGTTCAGTGTGTAAAACTTCGAGAATTCCACCAGGATATGCAATAGGTTTTGTCAGTAAATATGATGTCCAAACTGTCCATGTAATCTTCCGTCTGGTTTCGATGAGCCAACACTGAAAAAAATCAGCAATAAAAATATTTTAATTATACACTCTCAGGAAAAATTGTACTAAATAAAATTCATTCATATATTGAGCAAATTTTATTGAAAATCGACATGCGGACTACGGAGGTGTGAGAATCATTTCTGTGAGCACAAAGTGAGCGCAGCTTTTATATGAGCGACCAAACTAACTTACTGCCGTTTTTAAAACAGACACTTTAATCAACTTAAAAAGTTGAGTTCACAACCTGACTTAAAGATTTACATTTAACAGCTACTTTCCGGCATAAAAGTCATTTTTAATTGAGAACGAATAATTTTGTTATGTAGACAGTTTCTTGTGTTGACTTTGAAGTACCTTGTTTGTAACTTCCTTCAACAGAAACATCAGCACTCTGCTTGTCATTTTGGTTGTATCTCTGCCCCGAAGAAGAATTCTGTCACTCATTATCACATCGTGTGTCACACGATTTGGGTTCAGTGTGTCTGTAGATACGACGAACACAAATCTCAGCTGTCTTGGAGATTTTTTCGGTGAAATCTGCGGGAAAATAAACGACAAATTTATTCAGTTTATGAAACCACTTTTGCCAATAAGTAACATTTCACACGGTCCTAACTTTGAGATAGTGAAATTTCATATACAAAGCCTGATAGGCTAGATAGACTGTCATAAATTTCTTACTAGGTATTATAAAGTACAACTTGAGAAACTTTCTGAAACTAAAAAAAGTGCGACTCACTTTCCTTCTGTTCCTTCCTCTAAACTTGACGTTTATCTCCAGTAATTCACTGCTGCGTACACCTCAGCCGTTATTCTTTCCAAGTTTATCCATTCCAAGTGCAGAATTCATTTTTTCTTCGAAATCTGACGATTGAAGCATAAAAACTATTTGAAAGTACACGCAACCAAATTCGCAATGCTTGTTATTTACCCTCCTGAAAATTCGCATACGCGGGACGCGTTTTGGACGCGATGTTCTATCCTGTCTATATCCGGTTCGTAAGTGACTTCGACACTCTATGGTTGTTTTCCCTTAGCGTTTTAATTTCTGTCGTGGTCTGTATGGGCAGGGTGTGGAGAATGTCTATTAAAAAGGTACATATATGAAAGGTAGAAAACGTGTGCGCATACAGAACGGACCGAAACCAAACACAATTAGCCGAAAAGTTTGGAATACGTGTTGCATACTATAAGCTTCTGTCACGAACGAAAGGTATTACTACAACTCAGTGATTGATAGTACGTTTAGTAGTCTTTCTATTGACATGGAATCACCAAGAAGCTCAAGTGCAAACGCCAGTACATTCCCGAAATTTATTTCGCCATCAATAAATGTGCATCAAACATGCGTTTTTGGTCCTAACAACTTGCAGTTTGCATTCATCTTCTCTTTCATCATTTTTCTGTAATCACAGCTTCCATCGTCGGTATTATCACATACACCGAAGTTGCCAAGACAGAGAACCTAATCGTTCTGTTTATGATGCAAGGCTGCATCGCTAATCTTCAAGGTTTTCTGAACTGCCTCATTTACGGCTGGATTCGGGGTGGCTTCAAGAGCGCTCTTAACTTGTACAATGTGCGGGGAAGTTGTGAGTCCTTCAGCCATCGGAACAAGAGGAAGAAGCACTCACTGATGAACTACCAGACCTTCCACGTACACACGGACGACGAGTATGACACACTAAGCGACCCAGAAATCAACAAGTCTCGGCGACCCTCGCCAGCTGAAGAGGCTTTTGCAATGTAAATAATTATTACGGGACCCACTGTGTAAAGACATCGATTATCTTTCCTTGCAGCATAGCGGTATAGCTGTTGTCGTGCATGAAGTGTGTGAATGGTTGTACATCGTTATTATCACAATTACACTACCACTTGAATCTCTGTTCTCTTATGTCTTATGAAAGGAAAGGTTTGCCAGTTTTACTGGAAAATCTCAATTATTGCAAACTACAAGAAAATATTTTGTATCAGAGCTACAAGTCACGCGGCTTCCGTCGATATTTCCTTACGTCGATAGTTCCCTAACTTGACGCACTTCGACGTTTACTTGACTTTCCTCATCCAGGCTTGCCAAACCTCTTTGTTGAAAACTTTAAATACATTTGATTAATGAAATTTCCTTCATGATACAGGCTTTCGAAGCCTTGTTAACACTTTAAGTGTCAATATATTTTGTCCTAAATTAAACAACGGCGGCGTCCGGATATTGGGCAAGAATTCAGTTGAGTGTCCCTAACACTTATAAAATGTAAATTCCCCATTCAAATTTAAGAAGCTTTTTACGTCGACAATTTCAGGTAAATAAAAAATTCCACTCACATATCCAACTACAAGTTAAAATTCAATGTTGTATTTTAAGCGCACTTTAAAAGAGTTCTTTTTGCATTTCGGGAAAAATCGGCAAATGGGCCAAAATGAAATTTTATTAGATTAAATGTTATCTTTTGTGAATTTGGGGTAAAATATTGCCCCAATAAGACATTAAAGGGAAAGCTCGCCCCGTTAGCGGTAGTACGTTAGTGCTAAGTCTTTTTTTAATAACAGTTGCTTTAGTCAATGGGATACTATTGAAATAGTTGGGAAATTTCTGACTTGTACAGCTACCATGTGAAAAAGGGCACTCTGAGAAGGGTACTTAATGGAAAGAGGACACTTGTTATGGAATGGGGATGGATGGGCAAATGCCATATTATTGACTAATCCGATGATTTTTTACCGTTGTACAAGTTTTTCTTGTCCTAATTGTCTTTATTCATACTTTTTGGCTGTTGTTATTGAAAGACCGAAATAAAAACACACAAAAAATCCGTCGTTCTCCTGAAATATAAATTAGGCATCAGCAATTGTGCTATGGGTGACAAAGCCGTGCTTTTAAACGCAACTTTCGATGGCGGAGTACGTCATTAATAACATTTTTTTATTCAAGGCCCACCCCAGACTGTCTGGCTGGCACCACAATGTTTGTTTATAAAAGAAATGCCATTCATTTCTGGGGGTTTTGCAACAGGAAATCAGTCATACTGTCATTGTTAAATTTTAGATTTCTGTCAGAAACTCTTGTGTTGAGCCCATATTTAGACACAATGTAAAAAGACTGTGCTCCTCAAACATTGTTATTTTGCCAAATCTCAATGTAGTATTTATTGATCTGACACATCATTCATGAGAGTTTGCTCAAACATTTGTCTAGACCCATTTATTTGTACGGAATAAAAACAACAAAATAGTACTCTATGCAATGTTAACCATGCCTGGATTTTGCTTAGATAACGGTTACGATGCGACGGACAATGGGGCTCTAGCTTGTCGATGCCTTTCTATACATGTACATGCTTGTGTTCAAGCTGAACCAGTCTGTAAGACCCCCGTAGCCAAAACCATCATTCACACCGCAGTGCGTATTTGGAATAGTCTCCCAGAAGGTATAGTTTGAGAGTTTCTTGACTACGACTATTGATCCTTGAAGAGAAAAATGCATCATCACCTCCCTGTGTAGCTTACTCCATGTTCTAAGCTGCTGCAAACCGTTCATTGGCTCATGATGGCTTCATTGTTGTGCTTTATTGCATGTACACGTTTTCAGTAGACATTTCCAATGGCCCCTGTAGTGTTGGAAACATTTTGTTGGGTTTTGGACGGATCGGATCAACATAAAACTGGGGTAGTTTTTCACTAGCGTTTGACCTGATAACCATTTCCATTTGTTGTTGAGTTTTGCTAGAGATGCATGGTTTAATTAGTAGATAAAATTACTAGAGTTTGTTTTCAAGAAACATAGGAAAAAGCCTATCATGAGCATCACAGCTGTTGTAAAAGGGTTGCGAGTTCCTTGTTGGGACTAAAGTGGTGGTTTGTGTCAGTGCACATGAACAGTTACAGCAGGTTTTTTTTACCACTATACGGACATTACGCGAATCCCGAAAGAATGCAGGAGAGCTAGGCAGAAAACATGTAAAGGAGGAAATATACAGTGTACTTGTAATTAGCACTGATAATGTGAAATCGATGACCCATATTAACTGGAACAGTTTGATTTCCTAAAAAATTACACTTTGTCCAAATTAGGTAAAACATTTCTCTTATGTAATGACTTATTACACGGACAAGTATGTACCATAACTTTGTCGGGAACTGTATTTGCTTTATGAAGAATTTTAGTACATTTAATAATTCTCTTTGTTACTAGATGAATTAAATGAAGCAATAACCTCCAAAGCAAGAACATGTGAGCAATTGACTTTGTTTATGAACACACGCTCTCTCAAAATTACACTTTGTCCAAATTAGGTAAAACATTTCTCTTATGTAATGACTTATTACACGGACAAGTATGTACCATAACTTTGTCGGGAACTGTATTTGCTTTATGAAGAATTTTAGTACATTTAATAATTCTCTTTGTTACTAGATGAATTAAATGAAGCAATAACCTCCAAAGCAAGAACATGTGAGCGATTGACTTTGTTTATGAACACACGCTCTTACCCACTTGACTTAATTGCGGTGCAAGTTGCAATAAACTGAAATGATGTTCAGCTACAGATTTGAAAAAATCGAGTCTTTTATTGCATAATCTTGAACATCATGCAGACTAGACCCCGGCTACCTTAATCTAGATAAATATCATTACCCTACGTGCAACCTGTAGGGCAAAAAATGCACTTTATGCGTGGAATTTGGTATCTAATCATACATCCGTCTGTGATTGGCGGATCTTACTACTTCCTTCTTACTGTGTCCAAACAGTAATGGCGCTGTAACTAGTCACGCCGTCTGTTATTGGCATACCTTTCTACATGGGTCCACAAGGTGATGGTCCAGTATCTAGTCACAAATAATCTGTTATTAGCGTATATTTCTTCTTTGGTCCAAGCAGTGATTGTGCTGATCTAGTCACACCCATCTGTTATTGGCCTTTCTTTCTACATATCCCCATGCACTGATAGGGTTTTACCTAGACACAGAAGCATCTGATATTGGCTTGTGTTTCTACTTGGGTCCACACAAAGATGGGCGGCATATAGTCACATCCGTCTGTTATTTGTACGTCTTTCTCTCGGAAGATGGCTTACCCCAGTGGGTTAGGGTTGAAGGGGTGTCCCCGTTTGGTTACCCTGAATAACTTTTGACTCACGCAACCTTTGACGTTGAAACTTTCAGGAAAAGTTTAAAGGTCATAAGTCAAAAGGTCACGGAGTTATGGCCTTTTCGCCGAGGGCACTGTTTTTGGTAACCCCTTGAAAAATCATTGAAAATGACTCCAGATCCGGTTCAGATATATTTTGCATCCGAATCAGGCCACGGACTATCTTTTGGGACAAAAAGATTTCTTATGTTTTTCTTTATTTTTAAATAACTGTCATAACTTTGGTGTTGTATGAGATACGAGGATGGAGTCTGAGAGAAAGTTGTTCGCCTTGAGAATCTCTTTCGAATGGTGCCACTTTATATCCTGTGAGATGTTCCCTTTAGGCTGGGTATGGGGAGGAGCCATAGGGTATGTGTATGTATAGGGCCTTAGCGCCAGTTTTTCAAAGTATAAAGTTTTTACACAACCAATGGGGAAGACTTAAATCTTCTATAACTATTGAACTGCGACCCCAATGCGAACCAAAATTATACGAAAGAAAGAGTGTCTGCTTGTGATCGTGTACGTAGAAGTATGCCGTCTGAGGTTTGGATTAGGGGTTAGGGATTAGGGGTTAGGGTTAGGGTTAGGGGTTAGGGGGTTAAGGGTTAGGGGTTAGGGTTAGAGGGTTAGGGTTAGGGTTAGAGGGTTAGGGTTAGAGGGTTAGAGGGTTAGGGGTTAGGGGTTAGTGTTAGGG